GGAGAGATCCCAGGAGTTTGCAACTCTGCGCAATTGTCCCCAGAGGCTCCGGGTACTCGGACAGGGAGAAGGAGAAGCTGGAGCCCGACCTTGTTGCCAGCCATTAATGGGGTTTCTGGCATTGGCTTTACCCCACAGAGACGGATAGTTTCATAATGGATGTGAATTGGATGCTGATGAGATGTATACAGCAATTATGGTGTTCGTGCGTGTGATAGCTGTTGCCATGCTGATTTTATTGGAAATCTTTTCTGGGGCTCCTATGAACACTAGTGTAGCTAGTGAACGTTCTTTTTGAATGTCGGGATTCTAGTCCTCCACATACTTGATAGTGAAAAATCGACTATCTACAGGAACTGCTTGTTGGTTGAGAAACCATTTTGTTCGTTCATGAGGATCAAAACAACCAACAGTCGCACCTGTTATGTTAGGGTACCACGAGATTCGATGGTGAAGGTCTTCAGGCCCATTTCTGACTTTTGGTGAAGGTTGGGATTCTAACCTGCAGACATACAGAAGTTCCCTAAAGATGGTAGATGCTAGCAAAACACTCCATTCATTGCGTTGGTTTGAGGGAAATGTTGCAAGAAGCACCCACTTGATGGGAAAGAAGATCGCTTCCTGTAGATGTTCCATTGAACCAATCCATTGATCAATACCCATTGAGCCCTGCTCACTTGCAAAGACAACTGGATGGTTCCATTCGGGTCAAGATGCATATGGGTCAACCTTGGGTCGCCCAAATAATAGTTTACTGCAAAAAAAAAATGGTCAACATCTAGTCCCATTAACCTTAGAGTTTGACCCATACCCATATTTGATTTGGTTGACCATACTAGCGGCCGATGTTGGTTAGAAGAAAAATCGGGTCTCAAACAAACTGTTTACGATCATTTGAACTCTAGGGTCGAGCATAAACTTGCATCTGCTCAAGAGTCCCCAACCAATGAACATGATTCCCAATAAATTCCCCAGTTCTGGTGGATAATAGATATGATATAGATATGATACATATATATATATATTATATATATACATCACCAATGTGAAAAGAAAAAAGTCATCGGCTCGGCAAATCCAGGATATATAATGCAGAAATGTATGAGAACAATTTAGAATAGAAATAGATTATATTATATTACATTATTTTATGTTATGTTATATTATATTATATTCTATGATATTATATTATATTATAGTAGAAATAGGGTCATAACATTCTGGTAATGTTAATTCTACAGTGGAAGTCTCTTCAAGTTTCAGCACGTTGCCGCGTTGCGCCACGGCGGCAACTCCATGGGCCCCCCAACTCTGCCGCTAATATCACCTGCCCGGTGCTTCTGAAGCACCCCAGGGATCACCATGGGAAATTCCTAGTATCATTAGTGAATCATGTATCAAGGAAATCAAAGCCTTGAAGGACATGGCCGTGACACCATCAAGCGTAAGGTCCCAGCTTCATGAGTTCACTGTGTATATATCGATATGATCCCTAGACTGGTGCGCTGGAGGGCGCCTTTGGAGCCGCTGTGACAGCTGTGTGGGACACACCAACGAAGGCCTGGCGGAGGCAAATCCCCTTGGGGAAAATCAGGAAGATCAAGAAATGGCTATCAACTTCCATTACTAATGTTGGAAGTGTGTGTATATATATATATATACATTATTATTATTAAACCGAATTCCATGAGCGGAAGGGGCCTCACCGAAAAAAATTGGATAGGTAGTCTGGAGAATCTGAGATGCTGGTATCTGGGTTGGTGGGTTGGTAATTAATTAATCTAAAGCTAGGTTCCAAAGTAAGGTTCTGCTGAAACCATGGGTCGCTCCACAAAGTTCCGATTTTCAACCCATGGAATCTTTGGCAGGACTCAAGTGACCATCCCCAACTGCACCAGTAGGCATAGCGTTTGTTGCATCCCATTGGTTGATATGAGTCACCACCAACCGGACCTTGAAATTGCCCCCGCAATCCCTTGGGAATTCCCATCGAAAAAAGAGGGAATGTGTGGAAAAACGGAGTGCAAGTGTGCCGGTATACCCAAAATATTCCTGTGGCTTAGCCCCAATTTAGTAAAAGGTTATCCTCTGGTAAACTAACATAACTATGGAAAATCACCATTGTTAATGGGACAACTCACTATAAATGGTCATTTTCAATAGCTATGTTAAATTACCAGAGGGTACTTTGAATCGTCTTACGCAGTTGGGAAACTCCAATCGTAGCTCCCTCGCTCCCCATTTCGGGAATACGGACGTAGCTCCAATCCCCATCCACTGGCCTTTCTGGTCTGCAACAGCACCTGGGTATCACAAAATACCGTCGAAATTGAAGCGCTTGACGTGGCTTTGAAGACAAAATGAGGGATGAAACCATCGGAATATATATATATATATATAGATATTTAAATATTTATATTTATATAATATGATTATTACCATTATTATGATTATTATCATTTGATATTATTATTAATTATTATTATTGATCTCATTATTATTAATTACTATGTGATTATATAATATCATATATTATTTATTTATGTTATATCATATTATACTCTACTATATTATGTTATATTAGATTATATTATATTATACTAATATTATATTATATCATATCATATTAAATTATATTAGATTAGATTATATATCATATTATGTATTATATTATGTATCGTATTGTATTATACTATATTATATTATATCATATTATATCATGTCATATTATATTATATTATATCATATTATATTTTATTATCATATTATACCATATTAAATCATATTATATCATATTAAATCATATCATATTTTATTATATCATATTATATTATATTATATCATAGTATATTAACTCATGTCATATCATGTAATATTATTTCATATTATATTATATCATATTATATAATATCAGATTATATGAAATTTTATCAGATTATGTGATATTATATCAGATTATATAATATTATATCATATCATATTATATCATATCATATTATATTATATCATATTATATTATATCATATTATATTATATCATGCTATATCATATCATATTATATTATATTATGTTATATTATATTATATTATATTATATATATGTATCATACTATATTTAAATATATATATATATTAGATATATACAAAATCGGGGATAAAAAGGAGGAATCTTGGGGGATTCTTTCACCCAAACAATAACGAGCGGGGATCTTTCGATCTTCAATGCTGGCTCGTCTATGTACTAGACGAATGAAATCGATGAAATCACATCAGCATGCTGGATGAGTTCACGATAGTGACCACCGGGCAACTAACCAATTGCAAAGTGCGCAGTCTCCAAAACCTATTGTGGAATAGTTCTGCAAGTAGTTTCTTTGAGGTCTGGATGTCTTTACTGGACCAGAAGAAATTCTATCAAACCGGAAGCTGGAACCATCCAAAGCCCCTGTTATAGTTGACCATGGTGAAATGGTCAGTGCTCAAGTGACTCCAGTGATGTCATTCAACCTGCAATGTTTCACAACTTTTTGGGGTGCCCCTTCCTTGAAGGATCATCCAAGAAGATAGTGGAATAATCCCTGAACTTCGCAACTGGTTCAACTGGATGACTGACTAACCTGGGGGGTATTTCACAGTTATAGAAATTTTAGCCATCGATCGACCCATTCGAACTCTTGCAGCAAGTGTCCATCTTCCCAACGGTTCGACGACTGGGATTGATCCCAGTTATGGCCCACGGTTGTTGTTTCCTAACTTCCAGGTTTCTCCTAGTAATGTTCGTAAAGCATAGTAAAGCAATGCAACCACTCATATGGGTTGATGGTTTATACCACCCATTTACGATAAATTTGGGGATGGTTTACTATTGCTTTACTAACATTACCAGAGGGATCCAAACAGCATCCCCTGCAGCGAAGGGCGCGACAGCAGCAACCGCTGCCAACAGGATTCGCAGAACACGCGAAGCCATCGATGCCACCAGCGAAAGAGTCGTCGAAAAAAAAGTCCTGGTGTTTTTGGGCACCAAGGGCCCACCAAAATCAGGCTTTCCTCGTGGAGATATTTGCAATTGGGGATCCACTCTGTAAGGGGTCAGTGATGGTAGATGATTAGAGATTGACCTTTCACAACACAGACGAATATTCGGCAAGCAACAAGGGATTGAAGACCATTTGGTAGATTATTTTTTCCAGATCTTTTATACCACTTGGCCGATTACTAAATGATAGAAATTCATGAAGAATGGTAGATCAAAACCCAAACGCTACCCTGTTTCCGTGTTTGGAAGCCATGGTTCACCAGGTTTTTCAGCTAACGCCCAGCCGCGCACGTCCTGCAGCAGACTCGACGACGGGCACGACTTCCGAGCCGAAAGGTAGCATCGGATACATACACAGAAAATGGAGAACATGTGTGTATTGTTTATGTGTATTACATATACACGCGTAGTAAGTATGCACATATTTTGAGCACGATGTGTATATATATATATATATTACTATTTATTGATTCATTTATTTATTCATGTATTTGTTTATTTATTCATTTATTTATTTATCTATATATGTGTATTTCTTATTTTGTAGTTATTTATTTATTCATTTATGTACAGTTTGAGTATTGTACAAGAACTCACTGTATAAGAATTTGAAGGGCTCGATTCCAAGGCGGGCTACATATTTTCAGCTATACCAACACATAGTACGTTAAGAATTTGAGGGACCCTGGACCTCAAGCTTTCGGATTCTTCACCAGCGCTCGGGCTGTATTTACCAATTTATTTATTTATTCATTGGTTTGATTTATTCATTTATTTCTATACGTGTATATTTTATACATATGATTACATGTGTATATATTTATATTTAAATATAAATATATATATATATTATGTGTATATTGAGAGAGAAAAACACTACTGATAAGAAATATATCCCACGGAACTCTAGACGTTGCCTTTATGATGTGGGCATGTCGTGATGTCTCCCGATGTCCGTCCCTTTTTACTGGCTCCAAGTGGAGGTGCGCTCGCGCAGCCATCGCACAAAGGGCGCCTGAGATTTTTCGGCGGCGCATTCGTCGCATCCTACCGGGCATTGAGATTTGGTATGTCTCAACCACTCTCTATTACTGAAATATGCATGTCAAACCTTCGCTATCCTAAATAAATTAATTCGTGTTAGGAGGTGTTAGGAATGTGTGTATGTGTAAATATATATATATATATGTGTGTACACTATGCATATGGGCGAATGAAAACAACAATAAACCATGTTGGTTCAGTTTGGAGGCAATACCCCAAACTCAACCAGCAACCAATATGTATATATATAATGGTAAATGCGTTAACCTGAAATCTGATGAAATAGGCCATTCTGAGATGTTTTCTCAATCCTAACCATCATTCCAGTGATGTCGAAATTATCCAGAATATATTCATTTGGGGCCACAAAAGGATGGATCAAAAGTCAGTTTGACCCTGCACCCCTTCTGGCACATCAAAATAGTTGGTAGCTATGGATGTTCATCCCCCTAAATAGTGGTAACGTAGGTTATCTTATATTTTTCCAGAATATATGCATTAAATCCCCATGGTACCTCCATTATACCACCATGTTTTTTGGTGAAGTCACCTTTTTAATGGCTAAATATTCAACATTATTCAACCGTATTCAACCACCTTCACCAACCATTCACCTACCATTCACCAACCGGGTTCAAACCCGTGGTTTCACCTCGCCTCGATCAGCTCAGCATAGAGACCCGAGAGCAGGTACAAAGTGACCTCAGATTTTGGGTTGGCACAAGGCGAGTTTTGTTTTCGCTGTCTTGCCATTTTTTGGGTCCATGTCCAACCCCAAACCTAGGATTTCAATCTGTAGTTCCTATTCATGTTCAGCATTCCCTAAAGATATCAAATTTCCCTTATCTCATGGCTCTGGCTGTTACAAGTACCAAAAAAAACACAAAGTCAAATTTTCTAATTATACAACATGGCTGTAGATGGTAAATATTTTACCAGATAATGCCCGGCACGCGCCGGGGCGGAAGTTTTGAAAATAAGAAATTGTCATAGGAAATCAATGGCCTATAGGAACGATTTTGAGATGCAGAAACCATGAGCAGTTGAAGTTGTGAGGTGCATCAACGAATGCGGAAATGGTGGTTGAGATGCCATAATAATGAAATGACACGGAAAGAATCCGTGCACAACTGAATGAATCAATCCATGAACCTATGAATCGATGAACCAATGAATCATTATTTTTGTGAGTCAATGATTCAATGAAGCAGCGAAGCAAACAATGACCCAATGAATCAACCAACCACTGAACCAATGAATCGACGATTCAATGAACCAATGAGTCCGGGAATCAATGAGCCAATGAACCAATGAACCGATGATTCAGGAAATCAATGAAGCAATGAACCGATGATTCAGCCAGACAATGAACCAATGAATCATTGCATGAATGGTTTAGTGAGACGATGAATCAGTGAATCAATGAATGTCTGAAATAGTGAATGGATGAACCAATGAATCAGCAATGATTCAGTGCAGCAATGAAAGGATGATTGAGCGAATCAACGACTCAGTGGTTCGGCGATTCAGTGAATCCATGCACGGTGACTAGTGAGTCGATGAATCGATAAATCAGTGACCGAGTGAATGAGTGGGTCGATGAATCAATGAATGAACCAGTGAACCAATGAATCCATGAATCAATGAACCAATGAAGGAAGGGATGGGAGGATGGATGAATGATCGAATGGATGGATGGGCGGCTACTTTTCTGCCACTTCTTCACTGAGCAGCCTCTTCGCTGAGGCACCTCTTCTCTCAGCCTTCTGCTCTGCGCTGCCTCCCAGCTAGCTCTTTTGTAGCTTCTGCAACCCAATTCTTCTCTTCGTGCAGCTTTTACAATGCGTTTGGCAGCCGCCAGCCGCAATCCCACATAGCACAAGAGTGGCACTATAGTCAAGAACTACCTTTCGCGCAGGTTTAGCAACTTCCAGCTGCAATCCCGCTTACCAGGAGCGTCACAACATCACGCGTGCTTTGCTGCGCACAGCTGTGCCAATGCGTTGCGTTTTGTCTTAGCCGGTTGCAAACCCGCAAAGCAGGAGCGTTGCACCAAATCGACCAACGTTCGCGCAGCGTCAACAGTGCGGACTATTCAGCATTGCTCCGAACGTGCCTGTTTTTGACGACTTTTTTTGTTTGTGAAGTCGAGCTCTTACAGTCTGGTGCAAATTTTGGCGACCTCATCTTCCAAAAGTGCTCCGAACGCCTCAATTCTTTTAACATTTTGAATCGCAAATCGAGCTCTCGCCACAGTCCTGTGCGCTTTTTGTCCACGACTGTGCCAGATCGAGCCCCGCACCCAAACATAGACCCTACTTCGGCGACCCCAGGAGCCACATTACCCGACAAAACACAGGGTTTTGCACCCGAGAATGTTTTCACTCGTGAATTCACACGCTTCCGGACGCTTACTCTTCTCTACTGCTCCGACACGCGAACTGCTCTTGCTCACCATGTTGTTGACATGATAATCACGTGATGACATCATGATGATGATCACTTGCTGACATGATGACATGATGAAAAGACTGCCCCTGGACATTCGTCCTTAACTCGGACGTTTTCGAACTAAACTTCCTTTGAACATTCCTTTTTCTTGCTAGATTAGTCAAAAATGAAAGGGCAAATCCATCTCTTTTGGCACATCATTCTTGGGATCTTTCCCAGGATCCTCGTCCTTTGTGTTACGATATGTTGACAGATGCGATGGACGGATTTTCCATGATTTTCCCATGCGGATGGTAGATCCTCCTTTTTTGCGGATCATTCCAGTTCATAGGGTGGGTAGAAATCATCATCCATCACCACATTTTCCAATATTCGATGCCCTTTCGACAAACTCATGTATCATATCAAGCGGGTAAAATATATCCGATTCAATATCCCCAATTTTTTACCACTGTGTTTGGCGAAATCCCCATGCTTGAGGCTTGAACAACCATTTCTTGCCATTTTTGATGGTTAAATCCCATTTTTGACCAGCAACAAAAATGCTGGTGAAATCGTCGTGATTTGTCGTCCAAAATGCTAGCACCAACTGGTTAAATCCCTCCAAGGTACCATGAACGCCACAGCTAGAACCCATTTTGGCAGGATCTGGCGCGTCGGGCCGGGCGATCGTCCCACAGTTGGTTCAAGAAATACCAACTGGTGGGGGCCACCTACCCCTCTGAAAAATGATGGAGTTCGTCAGTTGGGATGATTTTTCCATTCCCAATATGATGGGAAAAATATGGAAATTCATAAAACAATGTTTGAAACCACCAACCAGCCCAAAATGTGTATCTGAAATTGAACTGGGGACATCCACAAGAACATTGGAAACATTCAACGACCATGGCGATTTTTTTAAAACGGATCGTGGGATAAGCCGCTGGTCGCTGAGGGGTTACAATCGAGTTCGAAATGGGATCTCACGGATAACCTCGGCTGTATAATGGTTGGTTCATACTATAAATCCGACGATAAAACTAGCAGTAAAACTTAATCATCCCATCCAATTTGGCATCTGTTTTCAAATTTCGATCCATGCCCATATTAATAGATGCACAGATGATGCATTTTCAATCATTTTCACATTGGTGAATCATTTTCAATCATTTTCACATTGGTGAATCATGGATGCTATTGATTGCATTCTACTTCCCAAATATATGGGTTTGGCAGAAAATTGGGTACCCAACAATTTTATCATCGATGATCATGCTCCCCATCATTCACTGGCCGTTTTCCGCGGTTCACCCCCATTTTTTGGGAGAGATGGACAATCTCACTTCATGTTGTTGTTTTTTTTCCGATGACATAGCCATTTAACTGTATTTAACATTATTTAACTATTATATGATAGCTAAATTCCTCTTATGTTAGCAATTTTCAACTACATTATTATATGGGGATGAGTCAAAACCCTATCCCCCTGGTGAACATCAAAATAGCTGGTAAATGGATGTTCATCCCACTAAAAATGTATCTATAGGTATTGACCCATACCCATATGCTAAACTATATGCCTTGCTTAAATCGATGCTTGAACTTCGGCGCCAGGTCAGCACGGCCCTCACCTCGTTCAAGCCACCAATCCAAAGAACCCTGCCGAGGCACGGCTGATGTGGGATTCAGCTGCCATAAACCTCTGGTAAACATAAAAAAAATGATCAAAAAAGTATAGCAAATCCACCATTTTCAGGAAAAAAACATCAACGATTTCTATGGGCCATATGAACAATAGCTGTGTGAAATTGCTAGAGGATAAGCATAGGGTCAAAACCTGGTGTATATATATATATGTATATATATATATATATGTATATATATATATGTATATATATATATATGTATGTATATATATATATGTATGTATATATATATGTATATGTATATATACATATATATATATGTATGTATATATATGTATGTATATATACATATATATGTATGTATGTATATATGTATTTATATATATATGTATATGTATATATATATGGTTTTACGGTCATCCATCCCGTAATGGGAATCCTCATCACCGGATTGAAAGAACTCCCTATGAAAATCGAGTGATGACCATCTATCAATATGGGAAACTACTGATTGTTTTGACCGCAATACATGTGGTTTTACCCATAGAAAAAATATTTGGGATGGTTGATGATTTGGTTGATAATCTGGCCACATTACATAGTAAAAGGGAAGCAAATCATGCGGCATGGTTTCCCGAACTAGCAAACAATGGTTTTTGAGGAGAACTTCGGAGCAGTCGAAGAGCCAAATTTTCAATGAAACCCCCAGCTTTGGACACCCATGGCTGGAACTATTGCATGCAAATGTTGATTTCAAACTTTATTTGTGTCAATCTTGACATCTATAATTGAAGTGTTTTGCGAATTTGTTCCATAAACGCGGATGAATCTTGATGACCGTCAATGCGTTTTGTCTGAAAATATTGGGCAAACCCCAAAGTCGGTTGAGAAAATATCTATCTGTTTCTATTTATAGATATAGATATAGATATATAGATATATAGATATAGTGCCCTCCTTCAATATGATAATTTGTCCCGGAAATCTCGTGCTTGAAAAGCGCGGAGTTTTGCCCAGGCGCTCGAAGGCTGAGAAGAGGGGCTGTTGAAAGAGGAAGACCTGTTTCGGCTTTGTCTCAAGGACAAATGGTTTGGAAATGGAAATGGTGGGTGTTTTTCAGAGTGACCCGTATGACCATTTTTAGACTTCTTGGGATAGTTGCCCTTGTGAACCATCATTTGCAGTGAAGCTACCATCCAGTAAACATACAACAAGCATCCGAAACGATCTACATCTCTGGTGAAGTTGGTTTTCTGGAGGGCACATATCACTTTTTGCAGAGTAGCCACCCTGTTTTCATCGCCGGCCTTAAAACAAATGACCCATAGTCATAAAAAATACAATCAGCATCAATCAGCTGGAGAATTCATAGCGAATCCTACACCTGATGGTTTTCTCGTTAAGAATCAATCAACCAGAGCTTGGTCAATGGATCCTGGTGACTTCCTCTAGCAACATCCAGGGACAACAAAAAACGGGGTGCCCCAATGGTACGGCACATGGGGTAGCTCCCCCAAACACCGTAGAAAAATGGCAGATCAAAGTAGAATAAAGCCCCAAGTGTGAATCCAAGATCTTCGAAGGTCAAGCAAACAGACGACAAAAGATGCAACAACAAAAACATGCCAGCTTTTTGCGGAGAAGACTCATCAAAAACCACACATCAAACATCGCCTCAAAGCTGTATTTGCCCAGCTGAGCCAATGGGGGTAGCGTCAGCAAACACGCCGAGAGTCCTGGTAGGACAAATTGCTGTGCCGGGATTCCCTTCATGGATTGTGATCATCCCTTGTATGCTGGTTAGTATAATTAATCTGGTGGGTGGTTTTAAGCATCTTGAAAAATATGAACGTCAATGGGAAGGATTATCCCATATATTATGGAAAATAAAGAATGTTTGAAACCACCCACCAGATGATGTATAACAATCATAATAATCATAATCATAATCCCCTATAATAATCAGAATCCCCTATAATAACCATAATCATAATCATCATAATTGCCTATGCTAGTAATTATCATCAACCGGGATTTTGAACACTGCTCAATTACAAGGCCACATCTCCTTGGCTAAAATCATCACCGAAGATTTCTTGGTGACTCCGTTGCCTTTTTTTGGGGCCATGGGAAAGAAATGGTGCCTGTTGGATGCTTTTGTATATGGATGGAACCTACATGACCTCCCTTGAGGTCAGCTGACATCCAAACTACACATATCAAAATTTATCAAACAAGTTCACAGAAAACAAAGAAAAAAACTACGACCATTTGGATTTGCCCAAAGGGGGCCAGAAAGAATATATCAAAGATCGGAAAATGATGTGAAGAAAGCAATGCCATAAACCACCCATATGGATTGATGCCTGCGCCCTTGGCGGCTGCGGAGCCATAGAAGTAGATGCCCAGTAGGGGTGCCAACGCGTGGTTGAAGAGAGGTTCCCAGCCCTCGTGATAACCTCAGATGTGTTGATACCCCCAAAATGGCAATATTTTTTTGGGGAAAATGATGTTTGAAACAATTTAAAACCATGAAATGTTGGGTATACCCCATTTTCAGACAAACCCATATGTCAGCCACATCACTGTAGTGACAGGTTTGAAGGTATGTACCATGGTCAAGGTACATGGGATTAATGGGGTATGGTCATCCATGCCACAATGGGAATCCTTACAGTGTGTATATGAATCCATATTGATGGATTGATGACCATCCAATATGAACAATTTGCCCTAGTTTTGACCCTGGCAAAAGTTGCGAAGTCGCAAAAGTTGCCAGAAAGCGGTGGGCTAAATGTCAAAGGATGGATATACGTCCAAGTGAATGTATATAAAATTATATAGATGGGATGTTACCCCAGGAATCTCTGAAAATTGGGGAAGTTGCGAATGGTTATGTCCCAGAGAGCCATCTCCAAGGCACCGGAACTTGGAATCAAGAGCCTCAGTCGTCCAGTGATCTCATGAGACCTTGATCCTTCAAAAATTACCCTCTGGTTATTTAACATAGCCATGGAAAATGGCCCATTTCTAGATGGTTTATCTATTAAAAATGGCGATTTTCCATGGCTATGTTAAATAACCAGAGGGTATGCCCTGCCAATGGTTTTATGAGTGACTTTCAACATCTTCAAAAGCCCAGATGTTCCCAGAGATTCCCAGAGATTCCCCGATGGATTTTTCGCCGGAAGTTGCGATCCCCTGCCCCGTACAGTATACCAGTAGTACCGCACAAGGCGGTGGCGGAAGTTTCAAAAAGAGGAAACCTATAGGAGAAGTTGGTTGTTGTGAATCAGGGATGGCAGAGCGAAGCCACTGATTGACCGAAAGGTGGTTGGAGTTGTGTTTGCTGGAATGGTTGCAATGGTTGCAGTGGTCACCTCACCCACAACTGCTGGATGCAGTGTGATGTACTGCAACTGTAGTTGTAGTTGTAGCGTAGTGGAGTTGTAGTTGTGGTGTAATGTAATTAGTGTAGTGTAGTTGCAGTCATATGGTTGTAGTTGTAGTTGTTTTGTAGTTGTAGTTGTAGTTGTTGTAGTTGTAGTTGTTGTGTGGTTGTAGTTGTTGTGTAGTGTAGTTGTAGTTGTAGTTGTAGTTGTAGTTGTAGTTGTAATTGTAGTTGTAGTTGTAGTAGTAGTAGTAGTAGTAGTAGTTGTTGTTGTTGTTGTTGTTGTTGCTGTAGTTGTTTTAGTTGTAGTTGTAGTTGTAGTTGTTGTTGTAGTTGTAGTTGTAGTTGTAGTTGTAGTTGTAGTAGTAGTAGTAGTTGTAGTAGTTGTAGTAGTAGTTGAAGTAGTAGTTGTTGTTGTTGCTGTTGTTGTTGTTGTTGCTGTTGTTGTTGTAGCTGTTGTAGTTGTTGTTGTTGCTGTTGTTGTTGTTGTTGCTGTTGTTGTTGTAGCTGTTGTAGTTGTAGTTCGAGTTGTAGTTGTAGTTGTAGTTGTGTAGTTGTTGTAGTTGTAGTTGTAGTTGTTGTTGTTGTGGTTGGTGTTGTTGTTGTTGTTGTTGCTGTTGCTGTTGTCGTCGAAGTTAGAGTAGTTAAGTTAGTGAAGTTAGTTAAGTTAGTCAAGTTAGTTAAGTTAATCAATGTCTACTTTTTCGACATTTTCACGTCAAAAAAGGCTCCAAACCCTCAGTTTTTTACACTTTTGACTTCGAAATGTGCTTCGCGCCACAACGGCGTGCACTTTTTCGACACTTTTTCGACATCTGAACCTCCAAAAGTGGTCTGAACCCCTAGTGTTTTTAACATTTTGACTTGGAAATGTGCTTCGCGCCACAACGGCGTGCACTTTTTCAACATCTCAACTTCCAAAAGTGGTCCGACATTGGTGTGTTTTGTACATTTTGACTTGGAAATGTGCTTCGCGCCACAACGGCGTGCACTTTTTCGACATCGCAACTTCCAAAAGTGGTCCGACATTGGTGTGTTTTGTACATTTTGACTTGGAAATGTGCTTCGCGCCACAACGGCGTGCACTTTTTCGACATCTGAACTTCCAAAAGTGGTCCGACATTGGTGTGTTTTGTACATTTTGACTTGGAAATGTGCTTCGCGCCACAACGGCGTGCACTTTTTTGACATCTCAACTTCCAAAAGTGGTCCGAGCCCGCCAGTTTTTAACACTTTTGACTTCGAAATGTGCTTCGCGCCACAACGGCGTGCAATTTTTCATCGCTCCTGTGGCCAGCTGGCTCCGCACCCGCCGCTTTAGCGAGCCTACTTTTCGACCCTCCGGAGCCACAAATCATTGGAAAAACACAGAGTTTCGCGACTTTCCTACCTTTTCGCGCATCTGTATCTTCTGTCTTCTTACTCTTTCTCTTCTGATCTTCTCTCTTCTAATCTTCCTCTTCTCTCTGCCTCTGCCCTGCTCTGCTTTTCATCTCTCCATATTGTCGGAAGTTTGACTTCTAAACTTCCTTCGATCAGGTCCCAAATGATGTAAGATTGCTGATTTCAAAGGTCATGTATATATATATACAGTATATATATAGTATCATAGCTTCCAATCCATACCAAGGTGACGTCAGACTCCAAGAAAACACCGATCACAAAAAAGCTGTGGGGTTTTTCTTCCCCAGCTTTAGCCAGTCGGATCCCATGTTGAAACCAACAACCAGAAGTTGTTGGGTCGATATATCCATTGCTACCCGTCTGTTACTGGTTAAAAAAAGAGAAACATTTGTTTTCTTGATGTCAAAGCACTCTTAGAGTCAACCCCGGATTAGTAAATCCTGGTTGATGAACTAGGATGGTTACCCCCAACAACTGATCCTTGCCGCTACTTCAATGAAACTCAGCTCCCTCCATTCACCAGAAAGTGAAATCGCCCCGTTGAGCCATTAAAATTCCATGAAATACTAGTTGCTTGATAGGTTTCCCTACCAGGGTGAGTTCGTAATCCCCAATCACCCAAGTAGATAGTATATATATATATATAACTCCCTATTTCATGACCAATTGAGAATATCATGTCAGGTTCACCCAATTTCAGAAACCATCTTAAAATGCTGGTCAGATCTTCAAAAACTCTCTGGGATCAATGGATCCCCAAGCATCGCCCACCAAGTGGCACGGCCGCAAAGACCCCAATCAGCGCCACGTCCGCCAGGAAGCCGCGCTCCCAGTCGCTCAAGACGAGGCCTCGCAGTTCGTCAAAAATGGGGCGCTTTTTTCATGGGATCAGCAGCAAAAATCATGGTTTCTGATGGGATGTAACCAAGAGAACTGGCCCAAGAATGATGGTTTAATCCATGAAAACTAGGGGTTTTACCCCCGAGAATATCATGGTTCAATGGATATAAACATCTAACTTGGCTCAGTAGACACGGGGTTAAACAATGAATATAATGGCTTAATAGGTATTGGATATATATATATATATATTATTAATATATATCATATATGATTATATCATATACATATATCATATTTGGGTGTGTCTGCAAATGGGGAATATTATCCACAATATGTTTTCGTGGCAATTGTGACAGGCAAAAAAAAAGGGGATTGCCAGAGGAACCAGCACCAGTGCTGCTGGCTGTAACCCCCAAAATCCAGTTTTTTTGGTCATCAGATTCCCTACACAACTTGCCAGAGTTAAAAAGTTTCATTCGCCCGGTGTAGGAAACACAGCCAATTGACTGAGATTCAGAACCCTGATTCCTGGCACAACCACATCAACCAATTCGATGCATTCGCCAAACTCCAAAATTATTTGGTGGAAGTCCTTGATTTACCCCAGATCCACTTCAACTCTCTTAAACTCATGGCTCTTGAAAGCTCAGAATACCAAATTTTGAACTACTTAAAAACTCCACCGGTTCACCGGGCTCAACCCGGAAAAATCCAACCGGTTGCCATATCCCACCTTGATTCACCTGCCAGCTCGGAGCTTCGTGTCGTGCCAGCATGGCGGCAATCTCAGCGAGCGAGATTTCACCGGGTGACTACCAGTAGTTGGGTGAATGTCCCCGAATGAACGGAGAAAATTGGGGTTCTACTAATGGGATGTGTCTGAAAATAGGCTATACCCCCAGTTTTTAGCAATGAATTCATAAGGAGAATAATGATTCACCGGGCTGGACTTGGATTTGTTCCCCCTAAATTTTCGGACCAACCCGAATCTTTCGGATTGGAATAATCCAAGCGAGGTCGACCTGTGAACCGAAAGAAGTCGGATTTGACTGTTGGGTTTACGGAGGGTATATTCGTGGGGAACCCACAAGAACCAACCAAAGCGACGAAAACCCGGGGTTGACAACAAGGAAACCTGGGATAGGAATGGGAAAATACTAGAATCAAGGATCTTTGGTTCCAGAAAAATTGTGCTTCGATCTTTGTCAATATGAACATAGAGATTTAACCTACAAGAATTCTACATCTTCTTACAAACACTGGAATGAGACCCTTAGAATGTTAGGATGATCCAACTCCGCAAATTGTCTTTACAAAACTACGCCAAGTACACCTTGTCCAAGAGCGGAAAAAAATATTCTCTATTCACATGGTTGGGGCAGTTCCATGTCACTTTTCAGTTGGCCCCCAGATTGGAACTGTTGTGAGCCACATAAATGGTTAACCTTAGATACCCTGCGCAAAACAACTAATGTTCAGGCGATGATGTAAATATACATATGTATGTATATATGCACATACATGCATGCATATGAAAACAAACAAAACACAAACTCAGAAATGTAAATTCATTAATAAATTATATAATAACTATACATCATTATATATATATATACACAGAATGTATTCAGATATTCCTTTACCTACACATCGCTGGGCACCCTGGCCATGCCAAGCATGAAATCAGGCACTTGGCTGGGCGGCCACACCTGCAGTGCCCAGCTATGTCACCAACTGTCCGAACCTTTAAAATGGTACCCCTCTGGCAACTTAACATAGCAAAAAATATGGCCATGGAAAATAGCTAATGCATCTAGAGATGGGTCATGCTCCATGGCTATGTCATATTTCTGAAATGGTACTTGTTCATTTGGAGCATGTATGAGCATGTCATAATTCTATCCATTTGGGACAAAACATGACCAAAACGTCATATTTGGGGACTTGGAAGATTATACTTGATGCACTCACCTTGTGGAACTGACGTTCGTTTGTGGCCCGGTGTTTCAGAACAAGAAAGTGAAAAAGTCCAGGCATATTTGGACCCTTTTTAACATTCAATAAAGGCTAGCCCAGAGGGTGTAAAGTGATAAATTCGTATCCAGGGGCCGCGTCCACAGCTACCAACCACTCACGACACAACTGGGAAAGTTCAGACTCAGACTGGTGCTGAATTCCGCACCCAAAGTTCAGCTCATAGTATTGAGTATCAAGCATACATGAAACTAATTGTGCAACACCATCCCGTGTGCTGAAACAACGCAAGTCATCCTTCTGACTAGACAAAAAAAAACTCAGAACTGCCTCAACACTACCTCCGCCAAGCATCATGCCTGGTAATTCCACATGTAACGCTACTACTCAGTGACCCCTTTACTTCCCAACGTCGGGGGCGAGTTGTGCCTAGGTCGTCCAGGATGTCCCAGGCACATAAGCCAAGTTGTGCTGGACATTGGTGATGTGTCCCTGCAGCCCAAAAATCATCAAGCTGGGCCCCAAGGAAACGCACCAAAGCCTCGAAGCTGTGGAAATCCCATGGCTTTTATGGCGGATGTGCCGCATCGAACTGTTCACTGGAGGGCTAGTCAGGGCTAGTCAGGGCTAGTTGATTTTATAGCCCCTAAACCCTAACTCTGGGGTTCTTAAAAGTTGGGATACCCCAAAAGACCATAAAAACATCTTCCGCACAAAAAACGCTTTTGGGATGACAACACCGGCGCGTGGAGTTGCAAAAGCACGTGCCACACCACCGCTTTTTTGATGAAAACTGACAACTGACCTTCCGGTAATCCAACTTGGTCACCAAAAATCTCCAAGATCCAAAAATGTTTACTATATATATATATACATAACATTGCATAACATGACATAATCTATGTATATATATATACATATGATGTATATAGCGATATCTACATATCTACATGGTCTACATCTATGTAATTATACACATATATTGATACGTAATACATACATACATACATACATATATACATACATACATACATACATACATACATACATACATACATACATACATACATACATTCATTACATTAAATTACATTACATTACATTACATTTACATTACATTACATTACATTACATTACATAACATTACATTACATACATACATACATTACATACATTACATACATTACATACATTACATACATTACATACATTACATACATTACATACATTACATACATTACATACATTACATACATTACATACATTACATACATTACATACATTACATACATTCCATACATTGCATACATTGCATACATTGCATACATTGCATACATTGCATACATTGCATACATTGCATACATTGCATACATTGCATACATTGCATACATTGCATACATTGCATACATGGCATACATTGCATACATTGCATACATTGCATACATTGCATACATTGCATACATTGCATACATTGCATACATTGCATACATTGCATACATTGCATCCATTGCATACATTGCATACATTGCATACATTGCATACATTGCATACATTGCATACATTGCATACATTGCATACATTGCATACATTGCATACATTGCATACATTTCATACATTGCATACATTGCATACATTGCATACATTGCATACATTGCATACATTGCATACATTGCATACATTGCATACATTGCATACATTGCATACATTGCATACATTGCATACATTGCATACATTGCATACATTGCATACAGTGCATACATTGCATACATTGCATACATTGCATACATTGCATACATTGCATACAATGCATACATTGCATACATTGCATACATTGCATACATTGCATACATTGCATCCATTACATCCATTACATCCATTACATACATTACATACATTACATACATTACATACATTACATACATTACATACATTACATACATTACATACATTACATACATTACATACTTACATACATACATACATACATACTAACATACATACATACTAACATACATAACATACATAACATACATAACATACATAACATACATAACATACATAACATACATAACATACATTACATACATTACATACATTACATACATTACATACATTACATACATTACATACATTACATACATTACATACATTACATACATTACATACATTACTACATTACATACATTACATACATTACATACATTACATACATTACATACATTACATACATTACATACATTACATACATTACATACATTACATACATTACATACATTACATACATTACATACATTACATACATTACATACATTAATACCTTCATACCTACATACCATACATGCCATACATACCATACATACCATACATACCATACATACCATACATACCATACATACCATACATACCATACATACCATACATACCATACATACCATACATACCATCCATACCATACATACCATACATACCATACATACCATACATACCATACATACCATACATACCATACATACCATACATACCATACATACCATACATACCATACATACCATACATACCATACATACCATACATACCATACATACCATACATACCATACATCCCATACATACCATACATACCATACATCCCATACATACCATACATACCATACATACCATACATACCATACATACCATACATACCATACATACCATACATACCATACATACCATACATACCATACATACCATACATACCATACATACCATACATACCATACATACCATTCCATAACATACCATACATACCATTCCATACCATACCATACATACCATACATTACATACATTAACATACATTACATACATTACATACATTAACATACATTACATTACATACATACATACATTACATTAACATTACATTACTTCACTTAACATTACATACATTACATACAATTACATACATACCATTACATACATACCATTACATACATACGTACATACATACATACATACATGCATACATACATACATTACATTACATTACATTACATTACATTACATTACATACATTAACATACATTACATACATTACATACATTACATACATTACATACATTACATACATTACATACATTACATACATTACATACATTACATACATTACATACATTACATACATACAATACATACATTCAATACATACATTCATTACATACATTCATTACATACATTCATTACATACATT